GGTGGCGGCGGGACGGGCGCACCTGAGGGGCGGCGGGGCGGCCCCGACGCGGGGCTGCGTGTGCCGCTGAGGGGCGGCTTTGTGGGTCTGCCGGGCCGAATGGGAATGGATTTCGCCAAGTTTTGGGTGATGGTGGGAGCAGCGAAGCGGTCCGCCCTGTTGCTGTGCCACGTCGGGAGCTGTGGCGAAGGGCAGAGCAGAGAGGTATCCGGCTGGCCCCTCGGCAGCAGCTGGGGCGAGATCGGCTTTAGCTCGTCCCAAGACCTGTGTGGGGTGAGATGCCAGAACCAATTACCCTCATGGCCAAATCCAGGGAAATTAGATTTCCCTAATTCTGATTCTCACTAAGTTGTTTGATTATCGTGACAGACAACTCTTGGCAACTGTTTTTTTTCCTGCCAGCCAACCTGCCAACAACGTCGTCTTGTCCATGGTGCCAGGCACTACTCAGATTTGGCCGAGTAATGACACATGGAACACTGCCTCTTCTTACTTGTGCTGTGCACAGCATGGCTCAATGCTTTACAGTGTTACGATTGAAATGTTGTGCCATCTATACCTTAATGCCTGGTGCAGGTTATGATCTGGGTCATATCCAAAACTCCAGTATGAGTGTGAGGCTTGTCTGACTTATTCTCACATTGGACTGGAATTCCAAGGCATGGTAGCGAAAGACAACAGGAAACAGTCATTAAATTTTGAGGCAGAACTGCCTCCCTAAATGGCAACACAAAGAATCCATAAGGATGAAAATCTAAAAGCAGCTGCAGTCAAGGCATTATGAGAGTGAAGGGAACTAGCGGTAATTGCTGGTCTTAAGTAATTGGATCATTGAGATTTCAACTAGACAGAAAATTGAATCCCTAGTTCTGGTTAGCTCAGCTTAGAAGTTGGAGAGGAACAGAAGGATAAAGCTAGACAACCCAAAGAGAAGGCACCACACTGTATAATACTTTTTTTGTCTGACTAGAGAGCCTGGTGAACAGAAAACAATAGGACCATGAAGTTTCTAAACTGCAGCTCTCGTGAGGCACCCCAGCTGCATTTCTAAATTAAAACATCTTCTGTGTCCTATCCTTCCTCATAAAGAACACAGGAAAAAAACATTTCTAGTATAAACTATTACCAGTAATGTGCAATGTTGGCATGTGACATTTCTCCCTTGTTCTGGTTAGTCTTCTAGTGATAGTTCAGTGTGATAGATTAGGCAACACAACACTGCTGAAATTTTGAAGGCTTTCTGCTGAGAAAGTTTAGATGCATGAAAATTAATAATAGTTGAATGTTTAAAAAAGCAGATTATTTACTCATTGTTTCTTGGCTAATTTTAACTTCACTGGTTAAATTGTGTCCCTGCATGAATACTTTTTCCTATGTAGAGAATGGCAGAGACAAGGAGCTGATGATGGAGAAGGCAGTTAGATTGCTGTTTTCTTTGTCAGGGCAGTGCTAGCTTAAAGCTACCTTGTAGCTGTGGCTCTAGAGCAGAAGCCATACCAGGGTCCTACTCATGTGCAATTCTGTTTACTTCAACAGGAGGTTTATATGTAGAACTGATTGGACAATTGGGTCTTAGAAGTACAGGGAGCTTTGCTTACATCAACAGGACTATAAATTCACCAGATCTGGAGTCAGGAAGGAATTTCCCTCATGAGCATAATGTCAGCAACATAATCAGGGCAAGGGAACAGTCTGCTAGCACACAGAGAAGGAATTATGTTAGGACCAGGTGGGTGTGTACTAGACACTCAGTTCTAATGGACACATATTTTGGGTTTGTATTCTTCCAGGATTTTGTTGTTTTCTTCCTCTCCTACCCTGCCAAGAGTCACTCAGAGCATGCTCATGCAGAAGTACAAAAAAATCACTGAGACTCTCTATGTGTGTAGAGAGGTCTACCATGTGCAATTAACTGACTGGAGAGTAAATTAAGGTCAGTAGAGGCTAGATGTATTTCAGGAAAAACAAACAAACAAACAAAACAAAGACACAAACCCCAACACCTTATTTCTCAGACTCGAGAGAATAACTCCCTGAGAACACGAATAGTACGTGTAATTTTAAAAAATTACAGAAATAATTTCAGGTATGCAGTTGTTAAGAATGAATCTACCCTGTTTATTTGAATCCTCTCGTTTTAGTGAAATTCCCCATCTTTATTTAAATATATGTCTTCTTGTGTGTAGCTTCACTTTTTCAAAAAGAAATGATGAGTTAAGAGAGAAGACAGGATAAATAGCATAAGGCAGCATTTGTAACATCACTGTACAACACAAAGGTGGACTGAGGCAGAACGTATGTGATTCTGTCTGTCTCTCTCTGAACACTATATGGGAACAGGTATCTGTTTTGTTGCAATGATCTCCATAGAGCTCATTCACTCTGGGGAAGGGCACTATGAGATTCGGGTGACATGACCTACATAGAAAGGAGGGACAACAGCAGATTTAGGTGAACTTAGGTGCAAACATCAGAGGAAAAGAAGAATTAAATTTCAAGTTATGGAATGGTACTTTTACCTGTTTATAATACAGTTTGGACCAGTCACCTGATACCCCACAGATGTTTGGTTTGTTTGCTTTTGACCTAGCTTTGAAATATGCCCCTGACACCAGAACACAATTTGTACAGAATAAGGAGCTTCCTGGCAGCAATCCTGTAAACAAGATATTGTCATCCTTCTGAGAATAATTCAAAATTCTTCCTTCAGCAGAGGGATGTTAGAAAATTTTTCCCTGATTTCTGTACCAGTTCCTTTCAACACTGCTTTTCCCACTGTGTGGTAGCAAGGTCTCTAGACTGCACTTCTCAGAAATCAGGATATGAGCCAACTCCATGCTGCTCTTGCACAGAACGGAACAAACGTGAAATAACACATAAGGCAGAGGAAGAAAAAAACCACAACAAAACAATGGGTGGTGTAAAAAGGAAAAAGAAAACTGTAGTGAAAGGAAATTCCCAATTAAAGGAGAGCTCTCATTAATATGCAAGGCAGCCTTCTCATCCTCTCTCCTTTCATGGTTGTCTCTTGTTCCTTCAGTTCCCAGCCCCATTCCATTTCTTTAAGTATGACACACCCCTGTAGGAATACAAACAATGAGTCTGTCCTTCACTTGTTCACTTCAAGAATTTTCTGTCTACCAATGTGGGTTTTTTCCTCCTCTGGTATGTCAACAAAGCAAAGAGGACAATTCTCAGCTTGGTTTTGAGCAACACAGACAACAAAGTTACAGATAGGAAGTATTAAGAAACAGTAACTAACAAGCTGGGTTTGTTTGTAAGGTCAAGACTGTTGTCTCATCAGTGCTTGACTATAACAAGTTAACATTAATAGGAGCAATGCACACATTAAACAAGAAAAGTAGGCTTGTTATCTTGGTAGTGTAATGAGAAAAAATAGCAGGCAGCATGAGCTGGGATTTCCAAAAAAAAACAAGTCAGAAATTCCTGAGTTTAGATTCCTGGCTCGTTCACAGATTCATTGTGCTCTTCCTAAAGCAAAATACATGACTCACCTGACTCATTTTCTTAATCTATAAAATGGTACAGTGCATGCCAGCTGCACAGAATTTACATTGGTACAGAACTCTTGTTTATCAAGTTAATTTGGATTACTAATAAAAGAAGAAAGACACAAAGGACAAAGCAGACCAGTTTGACACCAATTTGACATGAAATTAAAGACTCATCTATGGCCAGAAATAGCTGCATCAACCCAGATATGTATTGTATGTAGTCTAAAATAGGGCATGAACTGGCATGACTTAGATCTGAAGTAGGATTAAAACAGACTGTGTCAATATTTTTATGAAAATATTTCTTCTAGTGCTGAAGTCCTCAGATTTCAGAATGACTCATTCTAGCTTCCCTCATTACTTCCAGCAGGCTCCCAGACAGCCCTTCAATTAAACTTCCTCCAGTTTCCTGGGTCCTTGTCTCAAATTTCTTCATTAGCCCCCTCTCCTAGTTCCCAGCTCTTTACCCAGCTTGCCCTTCTCATCTCTATCTCCATCCTCTCCTTTTTCAAATCTATTGCCTTTTTTTCTTGTTTTAATTGTATGGTTTCTTCATGCTGATTAAAGGTCAGCAAGGGAAGAGAGGATCACTGAGAGATTAGCAACTGCTTTCAGTTTCCTTATCAAACTCAACACAAGCAATTAGAGTTTTTCAGCAGTGATACAGTGGTGTTTTGGTCTCACTGCTACTATTTCTTTCTGAATGGCAGCTATGCAGTCTGGCCATGCATGTGAGAGATTTATCTGCTAAGCAAGCATAGAATATTTTGAGACTTAAGTATTAAACTCTCACATGTCTCCAACATGTGCAAAATGCTGTTTCACAAAGTCTCATAATTTGGCCAAATTTAAGCAGATTTTCATAGGAATTTCAATACCACATCCTTGATATTAAGGCCTCTTTCTATGAAATCTCAGCCTCCTACTCAAAGGTAGAGATTGCCAACCACTGAGATGAGAATGCATTAGAAATCAGATGTAGGGCTTACCCTGTTTCCTTTTGTC